GGCGGTACTCAAACTTCCAAAGGGCTATAACTTTGTTACTTTAATTTTACCAGAAAAATGGTAAAGGAAAAAACATTTCTTTTGGTCAGATCTACACACTGTTAAAATAAATGACTCAACTTCGATATTCTAATTGAAGGTGAGATTCAATGTCAAATCTAAAGCCACCTCAGTCAAGTTCAGTATAGAACTGTCATTGACCGTTTTCAGGAATACCATACCTAAAAAAACACCAAGCCGTCCCGTTACATTTCTCACCATGCGTCCCATATGTGAAGCCACGTTTCACTTTTTTCCTTCTAGCTCCTAGTTGCCGATGTGTAGGAAGCAACAGGGCAAGAGCGATAAATTTCAAATGCTAGCCGTACCTTCAAACAGCTCAACCATAAAATCCAACCAAACAGCCATTACGTAAAAGCTCCAGGCTTGTATTCAGTCTCATAAACGGCAGTAAAATTAATTAATAACGCAGTGTAGGTGTACGAGCTCTTAATTTGCATATATATTGTTTTCGCTCAAGTAAGGCTATTTCAAGTACGTGAATACATGTATACCATAAAACCTCACTCCATATGCAAGGCGAGTAGAAAGTTCTTGTCGAAACATTTTCGCCTACGTTGATGTCTATAAGGGACGTAAACGGCCCTATAACCAAAACGTGACGCTATCGTTATTGTCATTCCCTTCGACGGACTCCTAAATTGACCCGTTAAAATATTATCAGAATGAAAAATGTGTATGATATCAAGCGCCAAAAACAAAGACATTTTCGAGATTATACAGGGCGTTCCTTAATGATTTGCGGATATTTAAGGATGTGAATCTACATGAAAAATTAATGTTAGTTTGCTTTATAAACTATGGTCCAAAAATGTTTCCTTCCAAAAACTGAGGGTGTTGACGTTTTAGGAAAAAAATGGAAATTAATTAACATTTCCAGATCTCTGAAGCGGGATCTTACTGATATTTAGTACGTAGTGGAAGTTAATGAAGCTCCATATTTTTCAATGCAAAAATAATTTGTAGCGTTAACAGTGGTGTGAGTACAGGTGTATTGACTTTGATATTTTAAAAAAAAATGGTACGCCAATGATTTTTTGACAAATAAAAATTATTTTTGAATTCCCCGTTCAATTTGAAACAAATGATCTATTGTGAATTGTTTTCTTCGATGCGCCATTTTTGAGTAAAAAGATAAAAACTGATCTGTTGTCTAACTTGCAAAATTATTATTAATCTAATTGGAAAAATTAACACATTTAGAGGTAACGAACAACAACAACTGACAACATAAACATGACATTAAAACCAACGAAACGATTACACAAATTGAGGACCTCTATGTAGTTATGTCTATCTCTGGAATACGTATTGAACTGAAGAACTCTTTGTCTCAAGTTTGATTTGATTACACCTTGCTCTTGATATCTTGGAAGCGCTAAAATATAATCAGAAAGAAATATGTGTATGACATCAAGCACCATGGACTTTCCAGGAACAAAAGAGATTTCTACGAATATCGTTTGTGTCATGTATGGTGGGGGGAAATATCACAGAAAAATTAATATTGCAAATGAAAACGTAAAAACCTCCTTTTTTTCAAGAAAAAGCATGAGACTTGTTTTTATTTGTCACAGATACATTTCACGAGGATGCATTGTCCGATATTACGTTTACCAAGAGGCGTAAGCTAAATTTTGAAGGTGATTCCAACAGTTGCAACGACATATGTCTTTTGATCTATGGCTTGAGAACCTCTGTGTAGCTATGCCTATTTCATTAATACGTATTGAACTGAGAGGCTCTTTGTCTCAACTTCAGTTTGATTACGCGTTGCTCTTGATATCTGGGAAGCGCTCGATCGTCTGCGGCATTGTGCTCACTTATGCAAACTTCAATCCTATTGCCTTCAGGAGATGCTTTGTAGATGGGTGGCGAGGTGGGTGGCTTGATTGCTCTCTGGCCGCAAGATGTCCGTCGTGTTCCTGCCGTTGTACTTACGAAATGTGCATCGGAGTTCTTCTGCGTCTATTTCAGATATCTTACGAATCGAGATAACTGAAAATTTTCTCATGTCCAACCTGTCTCATAAAACGGACCTACAACAGTCAATTGCAACTACAGACCTACACAGTTCTGTTTCTGTTATAAGTAAGGTGGATACAGTAAGGCTCATGTCGTTACCTTTGAAATCACAAAAGAGTTCGGTCAGCTGTGGCCCTCTTATCCAGACTTCCATACTATGGCTCCGACATCTTTTCTTACACATCGACGAACTCATTTCCTGCACGATCAACAGCTCTGCTAATGACAGAACCCTGCATGGAGGAATTAAGGTCAATATCTGCCGGTGAGCTAGAGAAAGAAGACTAGGATGCCGCCGCGCAATGACCCTGCCAGACTCACCTTACTTTGGCCTCCTATCCTGATCGTGTCAAACTTCATACATCTAGGACTTACCTAGGTATCTCCGCTCTTTTGTACACTAAGTGACATATAAATCCGAACACCCAGTTTAAATGGTTTTATTTTAATAAAAGTTGGTGAATGCATTTATCTTACTGTAAATAACAAGTGAAAAAATTTTCAGCCTTATCAACGTTGGCGGATTTTGGTTCTTGACATCCTTTACGATCGGTTACGATGCCTAGAGTACGCAGACCTGTACGATTTCGTCAACTTAGTGAGTTTGATAGGGGCCGTATAGTGGGACTTCGGGAAGCTGGACTTTCTTTTCGGGCAATTGCAGTTAGAGTGCAAAGAAGTGTAGACACTGTGGTTAGGTGTTGTCAGGCATGGCTTCGAGAAGGCCGTTCGCAAAGAGCAAGGGCACTGGACGCCGCCGTAGAACAACAGACCGTGAAGATTGCCGACTAAGATTATTGGCCTTAAGGGACCGTTTCTCCAGTACCAGGTCCATTGCAAATGAATGGTTTGCAGAACACGGAAGACCTGTTGGCATGCGAAGTGTTTACCGACGAATGAGAAGTTTTGGCTTGTTTTCATACCGGCCACACTGGGTCCTCCCTTTAACTCGAGAACACCGATGTAATCGCCTTGAGTGGTGCAGACAACGGTCACTCTGGGATCAGGAATGGAACAGTATTGTCTTTAGTGACGAGTCTCGATTTTGTTTAGGCATGCACGATGGTCGTGCCAGGGTTAGAAGGCGGCGTGGTGAAAGGAGGAATCCACAGTTTTTTGTTGAAAGACATGTTCATCACACTGTTAGAGTTATGGTTTAGGGTGCTATATCTTATGGTTCCAGGTCACCTTTAATCTTCATCAGAGGTAACATGAACGCGCAGCGTTATATCCACGAAGTTCTAGAACCACATCTTTTACCCTATCTTGACACCCTGGCAGATCCAACTTTCCAACAAGATAATGCCCGACCACATGTTGCAAGAGTCACAATAGACTTCTTTCAACATAATGATGTCACATTGTTACCATGGCCACCAAGATCTCCCGACTTATCCCCAATTGAGCACGTGTGGGATATGATGGGTAGGAGATTGCTCAATTTGCAACGTCCTCCTCAGACTGTAGAAGCACTTCGAGAGGAGTTGGTGGTTGCCTGGAATGAGATACCACAGGAGGACATTAACCACCTGATCAGAAGCATGCCTAGGCGCGTTGGAGAATGCGCAGCACATTAGGGTGCATCCACACATTATTAAAGGTCAAGGGGCTTTAAAGCAGTGCAATCATTTTGAAACTTTTATCATTTACTTATTATGCTTCATTAAGTACTTATACAAAATTTTATTAAAATAAAACCATTTAAACTGGGTGTTCGGATTTATATGTCACTTAGTATATTTAGTGTACCGAGATTGTGAAGCAACCTACGTGAGAGAGCTTGTCCCAGGTCTCCCAAGCTTAGACAGTTCAAAGATCAAATCAATTGCATGTCTTCAAGCTCCTTATTAACAGCCGAGGCACCCCAGTATTTAGTCGTATGCCCACAGAGTAGCTTCGGTAAAAAAATTGTCATTGTAAAGTGATGAGATTAATATTATTGACTATTTCCCTCGTCTTAATTTCTACTAATCACAGACGCGTAGTTCTAAATTACAAATGGTTTCTAGATAGAGAATTTTATGACAGCACCTGTCAGCAGTTCTTTCGAGTTTACCTGCAGCAAAACTTGACAGCTGTTGTCACCAAAAATTACAATACCTTTGATAAAAAGTAATAATGGTCTCCTAGATCACCAGAAAACTACGCTAAACAATTTTTCTTATCTTATTGCCAATTAATTTTGTAATATTGTTTTTAAGCAGTGCTAGTCAGCTTATATAGTGAAAAAGATTCGCTTTGGAAGTTGGCTAATATTGATCTGGTGATTGAGAAAAGTGTGTCATACAATACCGGTAAACGTAAATACGGAATTCTGCAAAGCAAAGAAATACGAGCTTTTAAAATTACAAGCTTAGAGCAACTAAACGTAATCCTGAGAGATTGGGCGTGGAATATGAAGAGAGAAGACGGTGAAAATTACAAAGAACTAGTTGTGAAGACAATGAGGAATACCGTTGCAAAAAGATGAAAGAGATGTATTTTATCAAGTGTAAAATAACTTTTGACCCATTTAAAGATATTGTATTTAAGTCTAGTAGTCATGCTAGTAATGCGAAACGAAGGAATTTGCAGGTACTTTGAAAAAATACTTTGAAAGGTAGTATGTTTTGTAAGCTATGTGTATGCAGAATAATCTGTCACTCATGAAATAGTCTTCCATACCATCCGGGTATCGATTGTTTTCCTCGAGAAAACATAAATATTTTCCCAAGAAAAACCTTCGTTTTCGACTAGGATTGTTGCTGTCACCAGCACTCATGCTTCTTGTTAAAATATTACTCAGCAACGTGTTTTTTCGATTAATTTCGGAAAAATTAGATGCCCCCATGGTATTACTTATTAATATGACAATTGTCTCATAGACATCCAGAAAGGATGTCTTTTTTAACCGAATTGCATCTATTTTGTTCCAGGTGTCTTCCTGATCTGTTGGCTTCCTTTTTTCACTTGCAACATCATGGACGCGATGTGCGCCAAGCTGCAACTGCCCTGTCAGCCTGGAGTTGCAGCGTTCCTGCTGACCACGTGGCTGGGCTACATGAACAGCTTCGTTAATCCTGTCATATACACAATCTTCAATCCTGAGTTCCGGAAGGCCTTCAAGAAGATCATGAACATGGGACCATAAGGTAAGGACAATTCAATTGAAGCTACTAGGAAGGGATGTAGAGATCAGATTATCCTGCGGTCTGAAATGGTGCAGCTGAGGCGGCATCGCAGGTGGTGAGCTTGAAGACAACATGTTACGTTAACTGTTTATGAGTGATACCAAGATATCCGGAATCCGCATAGGATTGTAGGAATAATAACAATAATAATAATAATAGCAACAATAATAATAATAATAATAATAATAATAATAACAATAATAATAATAATAACAATAATAATAATAATAATAATAACAATAATAATAATAATAATAATAATTAAATACAAGGTACCACCAAAAGTATATACTAAAACAAAGTATAGACAGTAAATGCAGAATATGCGGGCAGTCCGACGAACACATCAGCCATATAGTAGCAGGTTGCCAAGTACTAGCCCCTTCAGAGTATACCGCTAGACATAACAATGTAGCTAGTTACGTTCACTGGAAAATATGTGACTCGTTTGGTATTCCAGTTACAGATAAATATTATCAGCATGAAATTCAGAGTGTCACCAACATCAAGAATGACACCACTGCTGTATGTATTATGTGGGATGTCCGGTGATCGAACAATAAAAGCAAACCGACCTGACATTATAATTCATAACAGAAAGGAGAAAACATGTCAACTAATTGATATAGCGGTTCCCGACGATTCCAATGTAAAATCGAAAGAAAATGAAAAGATATCTAAGTACAGAGATCTCCAGATAGAAATACAGAGGATGTGGCATGTGAAAGCTTGGATAACTCCTGTCGTTGTCGGTGCATTAGGAACTATCACCAAAACCTTCCACGGAAATTGTGACTCAATACCCGGTAAACCAGCACTCTACCAAATTCAAAAAACGGCACTACTAGGAACAGCGCATATACTAAGGAAGGTGCTTGGATAGTCTCTTTGATATCTGGTTGATATCTGGTCTATCCTTTATTACCAGACAGATACGTCTGTGGAAGAAAAAGATACTAATAATAATAAGGAGGAGAAAAGTCTCCATGGCCGTTACCCATGCCAACTAAGAGGTGAAAACATAGATAAAGCTTCGTCATTCACCTATTTGAGAAAACGATATCTCCAGCCAACAACGGAAGGGTTCATAACTGCCATCCAAGGCAAAGTAGTAAAAACAAAAAACTATTTTCAAATCCAACGTCCCAGATCAATGTAGGAAGTGCAACCAAGCGGGTGAAACCATCGAACGTATTACTGGAGCTTGCCCTGCGTTGGCAGCTGGCGATTATTTGGGAAGACACAACTAGGTTGCAAAAATAATACGAGTACATTCATACCTAGCTCGTAAGCTTAACTTGGCACAATCGCCTCCGCCCTATTACAAGTACACGCCTGAGCCAGTTCTGGAATCAAAATATGTAATACTCTATTGGGATCTGCCATTTCTAGCCGACAAAACTGTAGACTTTAACCGTCCTGATATTGTCCTGATAGACAAAAGCAACCAATATGCACAGATAATTGAGATTGGAGTTCCGCTTACACACAACACCCACAAGGTAGAGCGTGAAAAATCGGTCGAACACCAGAACCTGGCGATTGAAATGAGGAGGATTTGGAAGCTAAAGGAAGTGCAGATTGTTCCCATTGTTATCTCTGTGGAAGGGGCTGTTACAAAACGAGTCTCTTCAAGCTTGAAGACCTTGGACCTTCCAAACGGCCTTTACATACTACTCCAAAAAGCCGTTAGCTTACAAACGTGTTATATTGTAAGAAAGGCACTGTCTTTGTAAAAACTATCCTTGGTTGAGGTGAACTCCCCCTCAAAGATAGTACACCACCATACGTGAGAACTATGAGAAAAAATTATAATAATAAGTCTTTATTAACAAGAGTACAATGTACCGGGAGAAGATTAGCTAAATAGCTACTCACCACATAAACCTATTATTTTTACGGCGGTCAACGAACCTAAATACATGTTAGAGGTAACGAACAACAACATCTGACAACATGAACATGACATTAGAACCAACGAAATGATTACAAAAATTGTTGAAAATGGCCCTCTTCAATTAGTATGGATGCTTCCGCCCCCCTTCTTATGAAAATGTTTAGCATATATCCTTTTTGTGGATCTTGCCCATTATTTTACTACTTTTTGTTATATACCTTTTTCCGCATGATCATTTTCTCTTTATAGATCCTTTGGGCTTGGAGTACCACAGCAAGTGGCTATAACCGGCCGCGTGGCTGTGGTTAGTTGTTGCCTTGAAAATTCGAGGTCTACTAGTCATTTTATACTACAATGTGTAGGCTGGTTCTTGATGTGGACTTCGCGTATCGTCTTTTTCACCCCCATCTTTGTTTCCTCACGTTACACCCGTATCCGGATGTGTGGGCATGTGTAGTTGCATATCTGCATTCATTTCGGGGCTGATGAAGCCAACCAGCAGAAATACGTATCGCTCGGGTTACCTATCCTATTTACTGCTCGAATCCACTTTCCTCCTTTTGCCGGATTTTTCCCATTATTTTACTGCTTTTTGTTATATACCTTTCTCCGCATGATCAATTTATTTCTCTCTCAATGGGTAGAACCAGTCGACTCATCAAACTGTCGTCGTTACCCTCTGAGGTGAAAAAATCACTAAGTAAATCAGAAGCCCTTCCACCCAGATTGTACGGTCTACCAAAAATTCACAAGCCATCTGTCCCCCTAAGACCTATTGTCAGTGCGATCGGCTCACCTACTTATCAACTAGCGAAACATCTAACGAATATGCTCCAGCCTCAAATAGGACTCCACCCATTTCATAACAAAGATACAGAACACCCGGCTGACACCAGACGACATTTTGGGCAGTTTTGATGTAGTGTCACTTTTCACAAATGTCCCACTAGATCTATCACTGGATTACCTAAAGAGGATATCCTGAACTTGTACCGACACACCCTAACAGCTACATATTTCCAGTGGAACAATCAATCTTATGAACAAACTGACCGTATCGGTAAGCCTGGTAATAGCCAATTTCTACACGGAAAAGTTCGAGGAAACACCGCTCCCAATCGTCCCAGTTGTTGGCTACGGTATATGGATGATACCTTCGTATGTATGGAGCCACGGAGTAACAGAACTAGCAGTGTTCCTAAGTTACCTAAACAGCATTCCCCCAAAATCATATTCACAATGGAGATCAACTGGCCTTCCTAGATGTATTGGTGGTCAGACGAGAGAACTTAAGGCTGGGTCACAGAGTTTACCGCAAAGCAACAAACTATATCTACACAAGGACTCCAACCATCATCCTGGACAAAAAGAGATATCATGAAAAATCTGATAAACAGGGCACATCGAATTTGTGAGCCTCAAAACCTGCAGGGGGAACTGGATCATGTTAACATGGTTTTACAAGCAAAGGGCTAACGCAGGGAACAAATAGAACAGGTTTCACGACAAAAAAGCAGAGCGTCGGCAGGAGACAAGGAACCACCAACGGGAATCTCCTCCCTACCATACATTAGAGGCATTACGGATAGAATAGGAAGGTTGATGCAGAAGCACAAGGTCAAGATCATCTACAAGCCGACAAATAAAATCCAGCAACTCTTAACGTCATTAAAGAACCCCCTGATCGGTGCCGCCGTGTACAGAGTACCGTGTTCCTGTGGTAAAGTATACGTAGGCACCACTAAACGTAGCTTCCAAACACGCATGAAGGAGCATGGAAGAAACTGTCGACTGGAACAAACTGATAAATCAGCGGTGACCGAACACTCAGCCCGAATGTACAGAGAAGCAATTGAAACCTACAGACTCAATGATAATTTCAATAGAAAAGAAGAAGGCCTTGCTTTAAACAAAACCTGGTTTCCAATGCCAGGAGACACAGCACATAAATCACGTCACTCAAGGGACCCAGAGTACCCCCACCAGACAGCTCAGTCCTCAGTCCACCGGTCGCCTATAAAACCGCATGCCCATAAAGTTGACCGATCAGCTTCAGTCGACCCGTCAAGCCAAACACTTAGCTCTCGCCGGTAGCGCCACACGAAAAACCTAAATGGCTTTAGAATTAACCGTGAAAGCCTTCATTCTTCAAAAGGCATATTGTTTTTTAAATGCATACCATTCACTATGGGTGTATACGAAAAAGACAATTAATATAAACAGGCCAAGGCGTACAACAAAACAAATACCTAATCGAAACATACATAATCCTCAAATTGTCAATAGCTGTCAATAGTTTCGTGTTAGTTTGAGCAATTTTTGTGCTTACCAAATGCGTTTTACGAACGATTAAGCTGTTGATATTCTTGCAGTTTATTTTGAATGTACGCAGTAGCAAAAAGAGTTTACACGACTCGATACCCAAATCGGCGGCTTTGCGATGCGAGTTTTTTCCCGATTAGTGGCGAGCTTACGAGCCACTGGTAGTTTTCGGTCTACGCTTTGACGGCAAATAATTGAAAGAAGAAGTCTGTTTCCAAGGCCTTCGCGATCACCAAGCTTAACTTGTCTTGATTTTTATTTATGCGGTCGGATAAAGGACATCGTGTTTCAGACTCAACCTACAACCAGAGCAGATATGAATCCGGTCTTCGTAATGCAATATGTTACATACCGAGAGCCGAAACTGGAGCTGTAGTTTTGTCTACCCATGAGAGGCTTCAGGAATGCATAGAGCGTTTCGAGCATTTACTGGGGGTTGTTGAAATCGGCAGGGTGTTTTTTACGGAAAGCTTCAAATGCGCCTCACCACCTTATTTTTAGAGATACAGCAAACATTGTCAAACAAAAAAGGTTCAGATTATCCTCAAATTTTAAGATATTTTGATATAACAGAATCCACAGAAACCTCACTTTTTTAGATTCAAGATTGCAGCCCTCTAGCGGTCATTTCAGAAACTTGAAAATACTTTCCAGGTCTTTCTCTCTACCGTTTTGGTCAGAACCTGTACATAATTGGGCTTAAGATAACAAAATTTGACATAATTTTTAGTAATGCCTTAAC